AAATTGGAACACTAATGCATTGTTCCAATTTTCCCACATCTTCTCCAACATTTATCATTTTCCTATTTTGTCATGTTGGCCAATCTGATAGGTGTGATGTGGCACCTCAGAGTTGTTTTGATTTGCATTTCTCTAATCAATAGTGATTTAGAGCATTTTTTCATATGACTATAGATGGCTTTAATTTCTTCATCTGAAAACTGCCTGTTCATATCCTTTGACTATTTTATCAATTGGGGAATGACTTGTATTCTTATAAATTTGACTTAGTTCTCTATATATTTTAGAAATGAGGCCCTTATCAAAGACACTGGTTATAAAAATTCTTTCCTAATTTTCTACTTTCCTTCGAATTTTGGTTGCATTGGCTTTGTTTGTGCAAAACCTTTTCAATTTAATGTAATCAAAGTTATCCATTTTGCATTTCCTAATGTTCTCTATCTCCTGTTTGGTCATGAATTCTTCTGTTCTCCATAAATCTGAAGGGTAAACTATTCCTTGCTCTCCCAGTTTGTTTATAATATCAGTCTTTATATCTAAATCATGAACCCATTTTGACTTTATTTTGGTATATGGTATGAGATTTTGGTCTATGCCTAGTTTCTGCCACATTTTTCCAGTTTTCCCAGCAGTTTTTGTCAAATAGTGAGTTCTTATCCCAGAAGCTGGGGTCTTTGGGTTTATCAAATAGTAGATTACTACAGTCATTGACTACTGTGTCTTGCATATTTAACCTATTCCACTGATCCACCACTCTATTCTTAGCCAATACCAAGCAGTTGTGATGACTGCTTCTTTATAATACAATTTAAGATCTGGAATAGCTAGGCCACCTTCCCCTGAATTTCTTTTCATTAGTTCTCTTGATATTCTGGACCTTTTGTTCTTCCAAATGAATCTTGTTACTATTTTTTCTAACTCTATAAAATAATTTTTTGATAGTTTGATTGGTATGGAACTGAATAAGTAAATTAGCTTAGGTAGAATTGTCATTTTTATTATATTAGCTCGGCCTACCCATGAGCAACTGATGTTTTTCCAATTATTTATATTTGACTTTATTTGTGTGAAAGACCTTGGCGTTTTCAATGCCTGACCAAGCTCTAAGTGCTCCATCCATAATACCTGCTGCAGCCACTTTCATGGCCGTTGGAACAAGCTGTCCTCATCTATCCATTCCACCAGGGAAAGTCTTCACATGCTTAGGACAGATATCCTCCAACTCACCAATAGGTTTGAAGCCTGATGGTTGCCCTCCACGTGGTTTAGCCTGTCACCAAGACAGTTTGCTGAAGTATGGCCAATGTGCATGCTACAGCTTCTTGGAGCCAAAGGTGAGAGTTGAGTGAATCAGGTAGACACCAAAGTTGGATGAGCAGCCCTGAAAAGGGCTCACCAAGTCTTCACGCCAGAGGTACTAGTCCTTCTGAACACTTCATACACTTCTGTCTTTTTTTTTTTTTAAATACTATTTGTTATATGGAATGAATCTTTTGGAGAGGAAGGGACATGTGAGAGAGTTACTAGGGAAAACTGATGATGTAAGAAACAAAAGGCATCTTAAAAACTTAAAAATAAAATTTTAAAACTACTTTAAAAATCCATCTCTCTTAATGAATCAATAAAAATATCTTCATATATAAAATATGAAGAAATATCTTAGGAGGGTTCCATAAAATGACAAGCCTGGCTGAGTATAAGCTTGGGCTATGGAAGCTTCCAAAAAAGGGTATGAACAAGGAGCATGCCCCCCATTCAGGGCAGAGGTAGCCAACTTTAAGGGGCCTTATGGGTCCTCAGAGAGACCCATTGTTCTTTCTGGACTATCACAGTGGGAAAACCAGGATTCAAATCCAGGTACCCTAACTGGAAATCTAACATTGTTTCCATTACACCACAACTGCCTGGCTAGGCATATTTAACATTGTTAGACCTCAATTTCCCCATTAAAAATGAATTTTGTAATTCATTACAAAATGAATGAATTTAGAAGCATGTATTAAGAACCTACTATGTGTCAGGTACTCTGCACTGGGGTCTGCTTATCTCATAGAGAGGTTGTGGAGAAAGTCTACAAAAGACTAGAGACATGTGAGGTCAAAGTTGGCCAAGGCTGAGGAGGTTACCTGACTTGCCAAAAAATAATGCTTTTTGTACACAGCTATTTTTACTCAGAGTTTGAACCTGTAACTGTGACATCATTTGCCTCCAAGCCTAATTGAACTGACAAGATAGACACCTCGATGAAGAAAAGGTACAAGGTCTTTTAAAAGCTGGAATTTGCCCTCCACTGGCCAAATTCCCATTAGTCTGGGTTAACACTGTCACTGACAAGAAAACTATTTTTGTTATACTTGCACATAAGACACCTGGGTGTTCCTAGCAGATTGATTGCCAGTGTATAGAGTGGTCACGGTGGTTCATATTGAGTGAATTTAATGCATTCTAGCTTCTAGCAGTGGGGCTGGGATTGTGAGTGTAGACTGTAGTCAAAATAAAGGCTTAGGTGAATAATACTTAACAGTATAAATGGATTAGAGTGGCCTAGGTGGAGGCAGAGTGGTTTTGAGACTATTAATCTCTCCTGTAGAGGTTAGACAATAACAGTTCTAACTGGATGATAAATCCACTGGGATTCATCTTAGTTCCCTATCAATGAACCTGGTCCTTGTACACCAGACTTAATTTGTTGCCAGAATGATACTCAAACTATATTCTCCTATGTTTCCAACATAGTAGAAATTGCCTAGATTTATTGTCAGCTGGTCTAGACTTCGAAAGTGACCATGAAGAAGAAAGAACACTTCTTATTATTTTATTTTTCTCCAGTTACGTGTAAAAACAATTTTTAACATTTGTTTTTTTTATTAATTTATTTTGATTTATCAACAATCACTTCCATAGGCTTTTGAGCTTTAAATTTTTCTCCTTCTCCCTCCCCAAGACAGCTCACAATCTGATAAAGGCTATACACATATATTCCTATTAAACATATTTTCACATTAGTAAACATTTGTTTTTAAAACTCTGAGTTCCACTAATGCATTGTTGATGGAGTTGTGAAATGATCCAACCATTTTGGAGAGCCATTTGGAACTATGCCCAAAGGGTTATAAAAATGTGCATACCCTTTGACCCAGCAATAGCACTTCTAGGCTAAAACAAAACACCAAAGTGTTTTGCTTCTGACTACCACCTCCTCCAATCTGCCTTTCCTTCTATCACCACCCCTGGCCCCCTGCCTTTTCTTATCTCCTTCCTATCCCACTTTCCAGTAGGGTAAGATAGATTTCTATACCCAACTGAGTGTGTATGTTATTTCCTCTCTGAGCCAATTCTGATGAGAGTAAGATTCACTCACTCCCCCTTACCTCTCCCTTCTTCCCCTCCATTGTAAAAGCTATTTTTTGCCTCTTTTATGTGAGATAATTTACCCCATTCTATTTCTCACTTCCTCTTTCTCCCAGTACGTTCCATTCTCACCCCTTGATTTTATTTTTTAGATATCATCCCTTCATATTCAACTCACACCTGTGCCCTCTGTTTATATATACTTGTCTAACTACCCTAATAATGAGAAGGATTTTATGAGTTACAAATATCATCTTTCCATGTAGGAATGTAAACAGTTTAACTTTTTTAAGTGCCTTATGATTTCCCTTTCCTGTTTGCCTTTTTATGCTTCTCTTAAGTCTTGTATTTGAAAGTAAAATTTTATATTCAGCTCTGGTCTTTTCATCAATGCTTGAATGCTTGAAAGTTCTTTATCTCATTGAATATCCATTTTTCCCCCTGAAGGATTATACTCAGTTTTGCTGGGTAGGTGATTCTTGATTGTAATCCTAGCTCCTTTGCCCTCCAGAATATCATATTACAAGCTCTCTGATCTTTTAATGTAGAAGCTCCTAATTTTTGTGTTATCCTGACTATGGCTCCACGATACTTGAATTGTTTCTTCCTAGCTGCTTGCAATATTTCTCCTTGACCGGGGAACCCTGGAATTTGGCTATATTATTCCTAGGAGTTTTCCTTTTGGGATCTCTTTCAGGAGGTGATTGGTGGAGTCTTTCAATTTCTATTTTACCCTCTGGTTCTAGAATATCAGGGCAGTTTTCCTGGATAATTTCTTGAAAGCTAATGTCTAGGCTCTTTTTTTGATCATGGCTTTCAGGTAGTCCAATAATGTTTAAATTATCTCTCTTGGATCTATTTTCCAGGTCAGTTGTTTTTCCAATGAGATATTTCAGATTGTCTTGTAGTTTTTCATTCTTTTGGTTTTGTTTTATTGTTTCTTGATTTGTCATAAAGTCATTAGCTTCCATTTGCTCCATCCTAATGTTGAAGGAATTATTTTCTTCAGTGAACTTTTGGACTTTCTTTACCATTTGGGCAATTCTGCTTTTTACAGCATTCTTTTCCTTACTGGTTTTTTGGACCTCTTTTACCATTTAGCCTAGTTTGTTTTTTAAGGCATTATTTTCTTCAGTATTTTTTTTTTGTGTGTGTGTATTCTTTACCAAGCTGTTGACTCATTTCTCATGACTTTCTTGCAACACTTTCATTTCTCTTCCCAATTTTTCCTTTCCTTCTCTAACTTGATTTTCAAAATCTTTTTGAGCTCTTCCATGGCCTGAGACCAATTCATATTTTTCTTGGAGGCTTTGACTTTGTTGTCTTCTTCTGAGTGTGTTTGGATCTTCTTTGTCACTGCATTAATTTTCTTTAGTCAGAGTTTTTTTCTGTTGTTTGCGCATTTTCCCAGCCTATTACTTGACTTTTAACTCTTTGCTAAAGTAGGGTTCTGCTTCCAGCTTCAGGGAATTTGTGCACCTGTTTTCAAAGATACTTCTAGGGACATGTAAGTTTTCAGTTCTTCCAAGGTGGTATGATTTAAGAAGAGTTGTTTACTACTCTCCTGGCCTGTTCTCTGGTCTGTGAATGGCCACAAGCACTCTTTTCTGCTCTGGAACCATAAGGAGGGTCCCCCTCTATTGTGGCCACAAGCTCTGCTACGCTGGTGCTCCTCCTCACCCTGGGAGGAGCCACCCAGGTCTGTGACCCGGATCAGAGTATGGCAAAGCAACAGAGTCTTGCCACAGTGATAGCAAAAAGACTAGGTAATCTCCTTCTGACCAGTTGTTCAACCCCCTTACCTAAGTCTGTAGGCTGAGAGCTCTGCAAGCTGTCCTGGCCACTGCAGCTGCCCCCACTAATGATTTAGTCACTCCCAAGACCTGCTCTTGGTTTCCAAGGCCGGACCTGTGGTGGCATGGCCTGTGCCATACCATACTCCACTCTCAGCCAGGTGTGAAAGACCTTTCCTGCTGACCTTCTAAGCTTTCTTTGGTGTCTGTGAGCTGAGAAGACTGGAAACCACCACTACTGCCACTGATTTGGTCCCTGGTCCCCTCCCTCCCCCCCAGGTCTGCTCTGGGTTTGCTGGGGCCCTATCTATGCTGGCATGGCCTACACTGGATTGTGTTCCTCTCTCACCCTGCTGCAACAGACCTTTCCTGCCAACCTTCCAAGTTGTTCTGGGCTGGAAATTTGTTTCACTCCATCTTTTTGTGAGTTCTGTTGCTCTACAATTTGTTTAGAGTCATTCTTTAAAGGTATTTGGAGGGGTTTGGGGGAGAGCTCAGGCAAGTCTCTGTCTTTACTCTACCATCTTGACTCTGCCTCTGGTAATAGCATTTTTAGTTGGCATAGGTTGTGAGTTGGATATTTATTCTCTCACAAAAAACAGAAATAAATAGGAAATAGAAAGAATATAGAAATAGAAAAATGGAAAGTAAACTTGTAAACTCGAGAAATAATGTTTCACGTCTACTTGCCAAAATAAAGAGGAAAAAAAAAGATATTAAAAGGCTCTTACCATTTCGGAAAAGTTGAAACCAAGGAACCAATGTCCAATCAGAAACTAGCTCTCCTAGCTCAGCTTTAATACGTAAAGAAACATTGAAATGAGGTCGAAAACATGGAGGAAGTCTGGCTGCTGTGAAGTTACATATTGGTTCTGCAATTTTGGTACAATTAACACATTCCACTTCTCTCCAATCGGTACTGAGGCTATGGGGGGAAAAAACATTTTCAAATCAATGCTTTCCTTCTACATTACTATCTAAAATACAATTTTCTCAGAAATGATCTCTCTTTTTTAAAAACATCATTTTTATTAGTATTTTTTGTTTTTATACCACCTTAATTTCTGAATATATCCTTCCCCATTTCCCTGCCCAGTGAGTTGAATTTCTAGCACACATTTTAAAAGGAGAAAAAAAGTTTAGCAAAACTAGCCAACACATCATATGCAACATTATGTACTCTGTCCCATACCTCTGGAAATAAATGAGGAAGGTGCATTTTCTCAACGCTTCTCTGGGGTCAAGCTTTGTCCCTTTTGTTATTGCTGTTCTTTCAGTATAGATTGTTATAGTCATATTTTCTATTTTTCCAATTTGCTTATTTCACTTTGCATCAATTCATATGTTCCCATGCTTCTCAGGGATGATTTCAAATCCTTTAACTCCATGCTTTACACATTATCTAAAGAATTGGTACTTTATTGGGGGAAAAATACGCCAAACTGTTCAAGTTCCAGTACTGGGGAAAAAATATGTGTATATATGTATGTATATGTGTATATTTATATTTATATTTCATGGCACAGTGGCCTTTTATAGGCATGCTTTGGAAAAACTTTCCTATCACCTTTCTGGTGGCACAGTGGATAGCATGCTGGGCCTGGAGTCAGGAAGACTTGAGTTCAAATCCCATGTTGGGTGCTTACTAGCTATGTGACCCTTGGCAGGTCACTTAACCATTGTCTACCTTAGTTTCCTCAACTATAAAATGGGGATAATGATAGCACCTACCTCCCAGGGTGGTTGTGAGGATCAAATGTAATAATTTTTGTATAAAGCACTGAGTATGCTTCCTGGGCTATAGTAGGCACTATATAAATGTTTATTTCATTCTCTTTCCCTCCCTTCCTATCCACCTTGTGTGCCAGTGAAAATAATGAAATGCACATGTAGACCATACCAAAGACAAAATATCTTCTCAAAGATGAAGTCCTTGGACTGTTGGTTTGCTCCCCTTCACTGTCTACCAGAGACAAGTGTATAGCTTACATTTATAGCAAAGACAGGTAAATTTATACCTAGAAGTATCATCATAGACATGCACAGAAAAGTGAGCACCAGTGAAATGAGAGTCAAGAGAAGAGACTTAGATATGGTGTCAAAGACAAGCAATTTTTGTCATGTGTTATTGCTTCTGGTAGAGAAAGTAAAACCAGAGAGCTTTGTGATATTTGGGGGGAAGAGAATGTCAGAGATAAAAAAACATAACTATAAAAGGACATTTTAGGGAAGTACCTGACCGAAAAACACATTTCTGAATTGGCCACAGGTCGTGTTTCCTAAATATTTAAAGTTCTTGATGCTAAATTCAGACTAAATAAAACCACACAAAACTGATGGCCAGACACAATGACAAAATATATATACCTTTCATTGTGCGGAAGGTAATAAACATTCTCACCACCCCCACATGACAAGCACAAGTGTCAGAACTGTGGTCACTGACAGTCATTGGTGAGAGGGCTCCCAAACCACAAACAGAAACAATGAGGAGGATTACCTGTCAGGAGGCCTCCAACATAAGAACTCACAAGATCAGACCTGTGGAATATCCTTTGGCTGAACACACGAGAAAGATCTCTGCCTCAAACACTCCTGCACTGTAGGAAGTTCCCCAGAAAAAGAGCTTTAAATAAGAATGTTGGAAGCTGGGAAATGATTTTTAAAAAATTCTATTCTGCCCAATAAAGAGGCTAAAATGGAAATACATCAATCTTAATAGCTGTATGGAATGAGAACTTCAACAGTTTCTGAGAGGAAGGCAAATGGCAAAAATTATTAAACAATTAAATGAAACAACCGTAAGAAGCAGAGATCATCTGGTATGGTAGGAAGGGTACTAGAGGTTGTATCAGGGAAAGAAGGAAGAAGAAAGGGAGGAAACAAGCATTTTTTAAGTGTCTGCTATGTGCAAGGCACTGTGCTAAGTACTTTACACAAGTGGCCTCACTTCATTCTCACAACCACCCTGGGAGGTAGGTGCTATTATTATCCCATTTTACAATTGAGAAAACTAAGGCAGACAGAGGTTAAGGGACTTGTCCAGAGTAACACAGGTAGTAAGTGTCTGAGGCTGGATTTTGAACTCTGGTCTTGACTGCACCACCCAGCTTAAGCTCTGGTAAAACAGCTGTAGCCTGTGAGTACTGGCAGAGGAGTCAGCCTAAGGAAGCCAGTGTGAGTTCTGGAAAACGGGCCTGAAGCCTGCAGCAGCGAGAGGGTTCTCATCAGGAGATACAATAAATGGGCTTGAAGCATGTGGTCATTCTGAACAAGGACACCCCAACGAGGTATCCTTCAATTCAGTATTAATGAGTATCTCAGGATCACCGATCTTGACCTCGAGTGGAACTCCAAGGCTGTCTGGTCCAATCCCTTTGTTTTACTGATGAGGAAACTGATGCCCAAGAAAGATGATATGTCAAAGGTCACACAGGTAGTAAGCATCAGAGTCAAAATCTGAAACCAAGTCCTAGGGCCTGAAGCCATTGAGATCTCAGCCTTGGTTTGTCCCTACAGAAGTGGAGAACACAGCCAGGGAGATGGGTCCCAGCTGTGCATTCCGGGGAGCACCGGAGCCGCAGCAGAAAACAGAACCTAGGCACATGTCAAGGGGCTTTGCAAGAGTCCTGAGACCAGTATGATTTCCAGCATCCAACTGGGGACCTGTCAGGGACATAGCAGAAGATGGAACTATAAGTAATTAGGGATTTTGCAAATGGAAGGAGACAGACAAGCTATGGCCAGCAGTTACACTGGGCCACCAGGAGCCTGTGATAAAAGCCAGGAATTAAGGCAGGGGGTAAGACCCTGTACTCCATCCAAGATAGCAGTGGCAACCAAATTACAAAGGGTACAGGACCAAACTGGGTCCAAGTAATCCATCAAGAAGTAGAGGATGGGGAGTTGAGGAGGGGGTGAAGTGCAGAGCCTGACTCTATCATAAAATTTCAATCTAGGAACTAAGCCTAGAAATATGAGTAGATAAAAGAAAACATCAAACAGTGAAGAAGTACTATGGGTTAAAAAAAAAATAAACCAATGGATAAGCCCTAACAAAAAGCAGTAAACTCCACAATAGGTATAAACAGAACCTCAGAAGAAAAAAAATTTGCTCAGCCATAAGGAATCCAAGAATGGCTAGAAGAAATGAAGCAAGAGATAAAAAAAAAATGAAATTATAAATGAAAGATTTTGAGGAAAAAAAATTGGAAAAGGGACAATTTTACAGGTATTTGGAGGGGTTTGGAGGAGAGTTCAAGCAAGACACTGCTTTCACTCCGCCATTTAGGCTCCACCCTCTGTCAATTTTAAAAAGTTGGAAAATAATTTGCAAGTAGTAGACTTAGCTGTAGCTACTATAAAGTTGAGAAAACTGAGGAATATGATATTCCAAGAATAAAAAGATAAAGGCTCACAACCAAGAATAACTTCAAAAACAGAATGAAGAAAACAGAATTCAATGACTCCAAGAGACACCAAGAAACAAAAGAACAAAGCCAAAATATCAAAAAATAAGGTATATATTTTTCAAAATATTTAAAAACTGGAATAGAAGGAATCTACCAACAAAAACAATGGACCTAGAAAATGAGTCAAATATCGATAACTTAAGAATCATCGGACTGCCTAAAAACCATGACCAAACAAAAATGATGGCTAGACTATTTCAAGATATCATAAAAGAAAGTTTCCTTGGCCTGTCAGAACCAAAGACCAAAGTGAAAAACAAAAAGAAATTTGAAAGAAACCTCAGATGAAAAATACCAAGGAATGTAAAATCCAAAATTCCAGTTCAAAGAAAGAATATTTCAAGCAGCTAGGATGAAAGAATCTGAGTATCAATAATTCATAGTCAATATCACATAAGACTTAGTAGTAACTATTACAAAGAGAAAACTGAGGAATAATATTCCAAAAGAAAAAAGATAAAAGCTCACAACTAAGAATAACTTATTCTGCAAAACTGAGAAATTTACTCATTTTTCAGTTGTGTCAGATTCTGTGACCCCATTTGGGGTTTTCTTCATGAAGACACTGGGGTGGTTTGTCATTTCCTTCTCCAGCTCATTTTACAGATGAGGAAACGGAGGCAAAGAGGGTTAAGTGACTTGCCCAGGGTCACACAGCTAGTAAGTGTCTGAGGCCAGATTTGAATTCAGGAAGATTAGTTTTCCTGACTCCAAGCCTGGCACTCTATCCTTTATACCACATAGCTACCTACATTATTATCTCTTAGAATACTGAGCTCTAGAAGGTTGCTGCTCATTATTTAATAAGATCTGCTTAAAATTGACCTCTTTCAAGCTTCAGAGAGTTCTGTACACAAAACTGAGATTGGGTGATCATTCATACTTTGTGATTCATACCTTTTGTGATCTCTCAAATAGAATGAAGAGTTCTAATCTTTTTGGTCAGCTTTTATGTGACTGACCCTTTCTTCTTAACAGCTTAAACTAGACTATTGCAGATTTTCTCCAGGGAGAAAAATATCTTTTTCTAGAGAAGGTTGAGTATTTACAACATGATTGTAATATGAAAATATTAACTTCTGATGTGAAACCCTGCCAAAGTTGGCACATTAATTTACTTTCTTCAGGAGACACCAGTCATTTTCGATTACCGTTTATGGATTATAATTTAGATTCAGAGTCTTAACTTAAGAAATAATTTGGTTAATTTCTCCCTAAATATATGACCTCATTCTTGCCACAGTGAAGTCCATCTTCCCTTTTTTTTGCCCCACCCAGAAAGCATAAAAAAATCTTCTGGTTATTTATCCTGACTGGCTTCGTTTTCCACTAATAGGAGAGTTTAGTTTCAGCCCCAAAACATGAAAATTTCACTGCATAGACTCTCTTCTAGATAATTTATCATTATTATTAATATTATTGATAACATTGATATTATTTTATTATTGTATAATGATGATAGTAGTAGTAATAACCAAAGTTATTAAAGTCCTTTACAAACTTTGTTTCATTTAAATCTTATAAAAATCCTGTGAGACAGGAACTACAGATTCTATTATCTCTACTGTACAAATGACGGAATTGAGGCTTAAAGAAGTGAAATAATTTCTCATGGTCACACCTAGATTTGAATCTAGGTCTTCCTAACTCCAAATCTATCACTCTCTCCACTATGTAACTTTTCCGTATTTCATGTTTATGAAAATGTTATAAAAATCACCGACCCCAGTTTCTCAGAGAACTGATTTTTCCATGGAATTATTAATATATTCCCCTTCTTTTTTTTTTCTTCTCCATCAATTTCATGGAGATTCAATTGTTTTTAGTTAGTTCTTGGTGTAAAAAACCTTGTTTTTAAAGAATTTTCTTTTTTTAAATTATAAACTTAATTAGCAACAAAAGCTTTTATTATTAATACTAAGCATTTATATAGCACTTTAAGACATGCAAAGAATTTTGCAAGTATTATCTCATTTGATCTTCACAACAACCCTGGGAGGTAAGTGCTATTATTATCTCCATTTTATAAATAAGGAAACTGAGGCTAGGAGCAGTTAAGTGACTTGCCCAACTAGTAAGTATCTAAGACCACATTTGAACTTGGATAGTCTGGACATCAGGCCTCACACTCTATCCACTGTGCCATCTTGCTGCCTGAAAAAAGAATATGGGTGGTGATGTAACTTTTTTTTTTTTTTTAGTTTAAGAAGAAGTCTTATGAGAAAATGTACCTCTTTTCCTTCTTTGTAAAAATAGATGGCTACAGGTGTGGAACCCTACATATGCTGTCAAGACTTTAGTGATGCACTGGTTAGTTTTGATATACTGCCTTTCCTTCCATTTCTTTCTTTTTGTTCCTTTTTCCAAAGTACATCCCTCTGGAGAGGGGTAGAATATATTTGGAAATGAAGGTGATGGCAGGAGGGTACCACAGTAGATAGGGAGCGGTACTTTGGAACTACAAAGACCTGAGTTCAAATTCTCCCTTCAGACACTTACTAGCCATAAGTGTGACCCTGGTCAAGCCACTTAACCTCTTCTAGCCTCAGTTTTCATACCTGTAAAATGGGGATAATAATAATAGAACCTATCTCATAGGGTTGCTGTGAGGATTAAATGAGTAAAGAGTTTTACAAATTTTAAAGTGCTACATAAATGCAAGCTATTATCATTATTATTATTATTATTACTACTACTACATTAAAAATATTTTTACAAGGGTTCTTATCGATGGAGAATGGTGGCCAGCTAGGGTAAAGAAGTTTTGGAATTCTCCTTCCTATGCTCAACACTCCATACAAGTTCAAATCTGGCCTCAGACTCTAGGAGTGTGTCTGAGTGTCACAGTTTCCTCAATTGTAAAATGGGGATAATAGTAACACCTCTCAGGGTTGTTGTGAGGATCAAATGAGGTAATATTTGTAAAGCAATCAGCACAGTGCCTGGCACACAGCAGGCTTTTAATAAATGCTGTTCCCTTCCCTTCTCCTCCATTCTTGACAATGTACTGAGATTTGTAAACTTTTTCCTATTATTTATCTGCTGATGAAACAAACTGCACATTGACTTTTTCCCCTCAAGTCTTTATCTGTTCATCAAAGACCAAGTAAGAGAAAATATACTTATATGATAATCAAAGAGGGAAGTAAACTTTTGATAAGAATTTTCTGATGGTGAAAGTTATTTAAACTTTCTTGAACAAGGAGCTGTTGGAGGAAGGATTTGAAATTTCATTCTTTGGAGAATTAAAATATATATCTGTACATACGTATATCTACATGGATATAGATATGTGTGTGTGTGTATATATATGTGTGTGTGTGTGTGTGTGTGTGTGTGTGTGTGTGTGTAATAGATATCCATTTGTCATGCAGTCAACTAGCACATGTTAAGTACCTTCTCTGTGCCAGGCACGGTGCTCAGTGCTGGGGATGCAAAGAAAGGGAGAAGACGGTTTCTGCTGACAAAGGGCTCCAGTGCAATGGGAGAGACAATATACAAACAACAACTATGTACAAACAGGATACATACAGGATAAACTGGAAATGATCTCAGAGGAAAGGCACTAGCATTAAGGGGGATCAGGAGAGGCTTCTTACAGAAGGTTGGACTTTACTTGAGACTTTAAAGTTTGAAACCAGAGAAGCCAGGAGGAGATGGAGATGAAGAGGAGAAGAGTTCCAGGCACCAAGTAGGATAAATCATTTGCCCAGTATGGATCTTTCTTAGAAGAGGCAGCATGATCCACTATTTTTTGCAGGGGTGGGGGAGGCTAGACAATAAGGTTACGTGATTTGCCCAGAGTCACACAGCTAGTAAGTGTTATGTGTCTGAGGCCAGATTTTTTTTTTCTCCTTTTTTTTTTTTTGAGGCAATTGGGGTTCAGTGGCTTGCCCAGGATCACACAGCTAGTAAGTGTCAAGTGTTTGGTCTGAGGCTGGATTTGAACTCAGGTCCTCCTGACTTCAGGGCCAGTGCTTTATCCACTGTGCCACCTAGCTGCCCCCATAATCTACTACTAATAGTGTTAAGGTTTCAGAACTGTCCTCCAACACACTATTGAAACCAATAAAAAGTATTGTAGATAGTATTTCTGTTCAGTCATTTTAGTCATGTTTGACTCTTTGGGATACAATTTGGGGTTTTTCTTGGCAAAACTACTGGAGTTATTTGCCATTTCCTTCCCCAGCTCATTCTACAGATGAGGAAATGGAGGCAAACAGAATCAAGTGACTTGCCCAGGATCACACCACTAGTAAGTGTCTGAGGCCAGATTTGAACTCAGGAAGATGGGTAGTCCTGACTCCAGACCTGGTGCTCTATCCACTGCACCACCTAGCTGTCCCATAGATAGTAGATAGTATACTTACTGTTTATACTCCACACTGTATAGCACCGAAAGATTTGTAAGATTGCTTATGGGGACAGGATCCCAGATCAGTACATGCTCTAAATTATAAAGGTGAATTCTCTGGTTGTGTGGAGCTGGTAGGTGCGTAAGTGATTCTTTAAAAGAGAAAAAGAAAGATTAGCAAGTTACTAAAACTTGTATGCACTCACTTCATGCACAGCACCAAACATCATTACCTGTTCCATTTCTTTCTTAATGAACGGTCTCTGGCAACGTATCAATTGATTAACAAACATCACTGAAGTGCCAGACACGGGAAAACCAAGACAAGGTTTCTAAGATACACTCCAAAAGGTGATGTATGGTTTGAGTGGTTTTTCAAGTTGAAATGATGGGCTGCAGGACACCATCTGGGTTCTTTCCCTTGAGATTCCATGTGAGATATAGGCTATGGTTAGGGGTGCAGCTTTGGAAAAGATTTTTTTCCCATAGAAAGCTAAATACCCAATCAACTCACAGATTAAGGTTCCACATAAAGAAAAATTTCTTATCAATAAATCAAGTAAAAAAAAGTAAAAATAAATAAATCAAGTCAACAAGAAGTTATTTTTTACAATATGCCAAACACTATACTATAAAATTCATTTACAGATAAAGGCAAAAACAAAATGAAAACAAAAATACACAGTGTCTGTCCTCAAGGAACTTACATTCTTAGGTGGAGAGTAATAGCTGAGTAAGAACTGTTCAGAAAGGAAACAGACCGTGAAGATACCTAGTTATTTCCTATTCACTAATGATATCCAAGAAAAGCCTGGATTATGCTCTGCCTCCCAATTGATAAACTTTTTATCAAACACTAGGCTCTGAGCCTTTTCTCCACCAGATTTATATGATCTTTTCTTGTTTTTATCCAAGGCTTTCTGCAAGGTAGGAACAAATTAGGAAATGAGTTTTCTTCCCTCCATTTTACTGAAATAAAATATGAAGGCTCATCTATCAAATTAACCCCTCAAAAGATCAAATATCAATTCTAACTCCATAGATTACATTTTTCTAGCTAGAAATGTTACCAGAATAAGGGACTTTGAATACTTTGATCACTGATATCTAATCTATTGTTGTACAGTTGTTTCTGACTCGTCATGACCCCATTTGGGGTTTTCTTGGAAAAGATACTGGAGTGGTTTGTCATTTCCTTCTCCAGCTCATTTTACAGATCTGAGGGAAACTGGGTTAAGTGACTTGCTGAGGGTCACACAGCTAGTTAAGTGTCTGAGGCTAGATTTGAACTCAAAAAGATGAGTCTTCCAGACTTCAAGCCTAACACTCTATCCACTGGGCCACCTGGCTGGCCTGATACCATCTATCTGAGTATTCTAAAGATAGACACCACATCCTGAATTCCTCTCATCCTGTGCAACTCTTGTCCATGTCTTTCCAAGAGACAATGGAGAGGCACTTGATGTTCGTGAGTAAGGTACAACACATGACCAATCAAGGAGTGGGTAAGTGAAACAGCATAAAAGATATTATCAGAGCCATATATCAATAGAAAAAGGAGGTGGGCTTGTTAGATGGCGAGAGCAAGGAATAATTAACCAAAGGAGAGCTATGATGCCGCCATGACAAGGCAACTACAGGAAGGCCTTCAAGGTAGAGGATGAACCTCTGCTGATGGGTCTGTCTGCCTCAAGTCTCTCCCCACTCCAATCCAACTCCATTCAGGCACTAAAGTGATTTTCCTAAAGTGCAGGTTTGATCATGTCCCTGCCCTACTCAGTGGCTTCCTATCATCTCCAAGAGGAAATACAAAATGCTCTGTCTGGCATTCAAAGCCCTTCACAACCTAGCCCCCTCCTACCTTTCCAGTTTTCATGCACCTTACTCTCTGACACATAGTCTCTGATCCAGTGACACAGGCCTTCTACCTGTTCCATGCCTGGAATGCCTCCCTCCTTGACTCTGACTACTGATTACCTGGCTTCCTTTAAGTCCTAACTAAAATCCTACCTTCTATAGGAAGACTTCCCTAACCTCTCTTAATTCTGGTGCTTTTTTTCTTTTAATTATTTCCTATTTATACTGTATATAGCTTGCTTTGTATATATTTATTTACATGTTGTCTCTCCCATTAGATTGGAAGCTCCTTGAGATCAGGGGCTGTCATTTTCTTTTTTTTTTCTTTTCAGGCAATTGGGGTTAAGTGACTTGCCCAGGATCACACAGTAAATGTCAAGTGTTTGGTCTGAGGCCAGATTTGAACTCAGATCCTTCTGACTTCAGGGCCAGTGCTCTATCCACTGGGCCACCTAGCTGCCCCTGCATTTTCTTTCTTTTTTTTTTTCTTTTTTCTTTTTTTTGTATCTCCAATGCTTACTTAGTACAGTGTCTGGCCCTTTAGTAGGCACTTAATAAATGTTTGATTGATTGATTGATTGACTGAATGTTTGAGAAGGGGTAGATAATGCCAGGGAAAAAACAAAGGCAAAGAAGGGGAAGCCCTGATTAAGACCTACCATATTAAGAAATTCCATTTACAGGACATATCATCACCTCATTTATGTCTGAATATTTACTTCTACAGGGTGTCCCGAGAGTCTTAGTGCAGTTTTGAGCTTTAATGGCTTAAATGACTTGAATGACTTCTGAGACACCATTTATATATTACATTATTAATAATCTCAGTTTTATAGAATTTTAAAGTTTTCAAAGTACTCTCAATCACAGTGGAAAGTAGGTAGTACAAATATTATCCTCATTTTACAGTTGAAGAAATGAGTTTAGAGAGGTTAATACCTATTAAATATTGGGACTAGTATATGTTGCTGGAGGAAATAACAGAATTAGCATTTTTTGATGTAATGTGATATTAAAGGGGGCATTCTGCGTGCAACTGATTCCTAGAAGAATCATTAGTTGTTTAAACATGAACTACAACATTAGTCTCTATTTCACAGAAAACAAAAAAACACACCCTTTGACTAGAGGACTTCTTATGGTCTCTTCTGCTCTAAAATTATAATCCTATATGTGTCCTTGTGACTCCAAATCACTGGGCAAAGCTGGGATTACAAAATCAGGTTTTCCTCCTAACTCCAAGATAGGGCTCTTTCCACACAGAAAAGGATATAACCCGGGACTGATGTGTGGGTGGGGGGGGGGGGGTGGGTGGGTGGGAATAATTGAACCTTTGAAAAGCACCTTTCCAGCAAAGGGTCTGGAAACAGTGGACAAGGAAAGTTGGCAGGAGAACCGTGTCAGGCTTTGCGCCCTTTCTTCCTCCTACCAAGGAGGAAACATCCAATTAGAGGTACCCTGAGTATTCCCCAGTCCTTCCAAAATCCAAACCTGAAGAAAAGATTCAAAGGAAAAAGGAGATGGGAAAAGGGAGGTGATTCTCAGGAGCTAAGGCTGCCATGCCTTAGTGACCCGGCCGCATATCAATCAATAACCATTTATTAAGCGACGGAAGCTTTCCCCCTTTTCTCCCCCAATTCCCTTCCTCCCCAATATCTCCTCCCTAAGCCACCTGCTTCTTCCCATAGACGCAGGCCAGTGAGGCTCCTGCGGTCCCTTACCTGCAAGGGCAAGTGAGAAACTCAGGCAGCGGCTGCAGCAGCAGCAGAAGAAGATGTGGAGCAGCAGGAGCGCAGCGGCCGGGCCTGCCCAGCAGCTCCGAGGCTGCATGGCCCCCGAAGGCGGCTCGGCTCGGCTGGGGCCTGGGCTCCAGCTCAGAGCTCCGTGGGCTGCCCGTCCTCTCTTCCAGGAGCTGTCATAGCCGCTGCGGCCCTGGCCATCGCCTTCTCCCGGGGCCCGGGTACCCAGGCCCGCAAACTCCTACTTAGAGAAAGGGGCAAAGCCACGGGGGGCGGGGGAATGGGGAAGGGAGACCGTCCGCTACTGCCTTCTCCGCGCCCCGCCCTGGCCAGACGCTTCCCCCGGGTGAGACGCTTCCCGGACGCGCTCCGCCCCTCGGGGATCCCCTGGCTGGAGCGGATTCTGCGCCTCCCCGGGGCTAGCCAAGCCTGCCTGGGCGAATCTAGGTCTCGGCTTGCGCGTAGCAGTGCAGCTTCCTCCTCCCCCTCCCGGCAGAGCCTGGGAGAAAAGGGGAACGTAGCAGAGGGGAGGGGAAAGGAAGTGAAGTTGAAGGGACACCCTCTTCTTTTCTTTCCCCTGGGAAATCTCCCAGCTGCTGCATCGGGGTTGCTGAGATTACTGTAACTGAAGGGTAGAGACCCAGCACCAGCCCCACCGAGCCAATTACGACGTTCAAGTTTCACCTCTTCCCTGAAACTTTTCCTCATTCTTTTTAGCTGAGAGCCCTTGAGTTTGTTCAGGCCACTCCCGTCTAACTCTTTTACAGATGAAGGAATGTGCTTGAGGACAAGAGATTATCATTTTTTTTTCTTCATCTTTGACCTCTCAGTGCCTAGGGCATTGTCATTCATTTGATAGCTGATAAAGCTAGTATTTATATCATGCTTACTGTGTGTTTCAATGCCGAAGGTACGCTTGCCTAAAAGACTATTTTATTGACAACTCACACAGGGCAAGCACTCACATGGTGGTCAGAAGAAGGGACACAAGGACACTCTCAAGGTCTCTCTTAAGAACCTTGGAATTGATTGTGTAACATGTGAGACACTGGCACAGGATTGCCCAGCATGGCGTGCCCTCATCAGAGAAGGTGCAGTGCTGTATGAGCAAAGTAGATTTGAAGTAGCTCAAAAGAAACGCAAGATGCAAATTTAGAGAATCCACCCCAAATATTCGTATAGGCTATTTGTGCCTGACCTGTGGTCTGATCAGCTACAGTCGGTAGCATTGTAACTTGACTTTAACATAGTGATGAACGACAGCCAACTGTGTACTAGGTGCTTTACAAAGATTATCTCATTTGGTCCTCACCACAACCCTGGGAGGTAGACGCTAGTATTATTCCCATTTTACAGTTGAGGAAACTGAGGTTAAGTGACCTGCCCAAGGTCACACAGCTAGTAAGTGTCTAATAGAGGCCAGATTTGAACTATGGGCTCCCTCCAGGCCTGGCCCTCTTTCCATTGAGCCATCTAGCTGCCAACATAATAAATGTTTATTGAATTGAATGAACCAGTACCTAGGTTTACATCCTCATTCTTTCTTACCAAAAAGACAATCCACAAATCTGGCATTTTCTAGTACTATGTGTGTGTGTGTATATGTGTGTGTGTATATATGTGTGTATGTATATGTGTGTTATGTGTGTGAGTGTGTGTGTGTGTGTGTGTATAGTGTCCCCAAAGTCTAAGTTCAGTTTCATGCTATTAAAGCACTAAGGCTTTTGGGACACCTTGTGTTATGCATTTGAGTCCCATACAACTCTGAAGTAGGCAATACAGTTATTGTCCCTACTTTACCACTGAAGAAATCAAGGCTCAGAGCCATTATGTAAATTGCAAACAGCTAGTTAAGTGTCAGAGACAAAATTCAAACCCAAATCACTTTGGTTCCAAGTTTGGAACTAAGAAATGCTCTAAAACTTAAAAGAAGATGCATAACTTCTTTTGTTCTGAAAATGTATTGGAATCCAAAATATAGAAGTATTTCATTTATACTTGTATCTCCCTCAGGGTCTACAACAGCACTTTACAGTGTTGTGAGCTGAATGAATGGATCAGAGGAATGGCTTTCAAATAATGTGAATTCATCAAGGCATTTGATGAAGTTTCCTTTGTGCTTCTCTCTTACGTACTTAATCTCATTCTACTTTGTATTTTTTTTTGTGTAGTTATTCTGACCATTAGATTACAGAATTATAGATCCATGGGCAGAGTTATAGGAGAAACAAGTGTCTTCTGGTTCAATCCCAAAATGATAGAGACAAATACCTGCTTCCCTCAAGAAACATTTTTTTCTGCTAGAAATGACAGTACTAGGAATAATTGGGTGAAAATTAAAGGGAAGAAAAGTGACTTCTTTGACCCTAAAGACCTTCAAACAAAAGGCTACATGACCAATTGCTGGAGAAGGGTGGTGGGCAGAACATGGGAGACATAATCTGGGTAGGGATTGAAAAGTTTTCTCTCTTTAAAAGTCTACTGAGTGGGCAGCTCTTCTTTTTTAATGTCCAGTCCTTTTTAATACAACTTCTTTTGACATCAGCATCAATCAGGGGATGAATAAAAGGTTGCTGTGTCATCCCAAAGTTAAAAGCCTTTGGTGCTGAGTCAAAACATGTCACTAGAAGTGACTAGGAGAGTTCAGTTTAGCTCCACAAATGCTCCATGGTAAGGATCCTGCAGGTTTATCTTTAATCCTGCTCCATGGACTATACTCCAATCCAACTTCCTGCTAAATTTTCCTCCCCATTTTGGAATTTTGAATCTTCTTTTAATATTTGCTTTGTTTTGTTTTGCCCCCAATGAGATTTTCCTCCCTACAACTGCCAACAAGCACTATCTATTCCTATTTTTTTGTGGGGGGCTAGGCAATGGAGTTAAGTGACTTGCCCAGGGTCACACAGTTAGTAAGTGTTATATCCATTCCTATTAAAAACACTAGAGAGCATAGGAATAAAGGGAGCTTTCCTTAAAATGATAAGTAATATTTATCTAAAACCATCAGCAAACAACTGTTATGGGGATAAACTATAAGTCTTCCCAGTAAGATCAGGGGTGAAGCAAGGATGCCCATTAACTATTATTTTTTAATTTTAATTAATTAATTTTCAACATCCACTTCCATAAGCTTTTGAGTTTTCAATTTTCTCCCCCCGCCTCTTTTGCCCTCCGCAAGATGACATGCAATCTTATATAGGCTCTACATATACATTCATATTAAATGTATTTTCACATTAGTCATGTTGTAAAGAAGTATTAGGACCAATGGGAGGAACCACAAGAAAGAAGAGACAAAACAACAAAAGAAAAAAGAGATCAAATAGTATGCTTCCATCTGCATTCAAACTCCATAGTTCTTTCTTTGGATATGGATAGCATTTTCCATCATGAGTCTTTTGGAGCTGTCTTAGATCCTTGCATTGCTGAGAAGAGCCAAGTTTATAAAAGTTAGTCATCACACAATGATGCTGTTACTATGTTCAGTGTTCTCCTGGTTCTGCTCATTTCACGCAGCATCAGTTCATATAAGTCTTTCCAGGTTTTTCTGAAGTCTACCTGCTCATCATTTCTTATAGCACAATAATATTCCATTACATTTATATACCACAACTTGTTTAGCCATTCCCCAATGGATGGGCATCACCTCAATTTCCAATTCTCTGCCACCACAAAAAGAGCTGCTATAAATATTTTTGTACATGTGGGTCCTTTTCCCATTTGTATGATCTCTTTGGGATACAGACCTAGAAGTGCTATTGCTGGGTTAAAGGGTATGCACATTTTTATAGCCCTTTGGGCATTGTTCCAAACTGCTCTCCAGAATGGTTGGATCATTTCATAACTCCACCAACAATGCATTAGTGTTCCAATTTTCCCACATCTTCTCCAACATTTATCATTTTCCTGTTTTGACATATTAGGCAATCTGATAGGTGATGTGGTACCTCAGAGTTGTTTTGATTTGCATTTTTTTTTTTTTGGTGAGCCAGTTGGGGTTAAGTGTTGGCCCAGGGTCGCACAATTAGTAAGTGTGAAGTGTCTGAGGCCAGATTTGAACTTAGGTCCTCCTGGCTCCAAGGCCTGAGCTCTATCTACTGGGTCACCTAGCTGCCTCTCTTGATTTGCATTTCTCTGATCAATAGTATCACCTATATTATTCAATATTATACTAGGAATGATAGTTATAGCAATAAGAGAAGAAAAAGAAATTGAAGGAATTAGAATAGGCAATGGGGAAACAAAACTATCACTCTTTGCAGATGATATGATGGTATGCTTAGAGAATAAACTAATAAACTACTTATAATAATTAACAACTTTAGCAAAGTCACAGGATACAAAATAAAACCACATAAATCATCTGCATTTATATATATTGCCAACAAAGTTCAGCAGCAAGAGATAGAAACTGAAATTCCATTTAAAATAATTGTAGACAATATAAAATAAACTTGGGAGTCTACCTGCCAAGAAAAACTCAGGAACTGTGTGAACACGATTATAAAACACTTTTTGCACAAATAAAGTCATCTAAACAATTGGAAAAATATTAATTGCTCATGGGTAGGCTGAACCAATATCATAAAAAGGACAGCTCTACCTAAATTAATTTACTTATTCAGTGCCATAGCAATTAAAGTACCAGAAATTATAGAGCTAGAAAAAATAATAACAAAATTCATCTGGAAGAACAAAAGATCAAGGCTATTAAGGGAATCAATGAAAAAAAAAAATGTGAAGGAAGGTGCTCTAGCTGTTCCAGATCTCAAATTGTATTATAAAGCAATAATTATCAAAATAATCTGGTACTGGCTAAGAAATAAAAGTGGTGGATCAGTGGAATACATTAGGTACACATTATGGTTTAGTAAATGACTGTAGTAACCTAGTATATGATAAACACAAAGATCCAAGCTTTTGGAACAAAAACTCATGATTTGACAAAAACTGCTGAGAAAACTAGAAAACAGTATGGCAGAAACTAGGTACAGACCAACATCTCACACCATATACCAAGATAAGGTCAAAATGGGTAAATGATTTACACATAAAGGGTGATACCATAAGCAAATTAGGAGAGCATAGAATAGTTTACTTGTCAGATCTATGGATAAGGGAAGAATTTAAGACCAAAGAGTTTGTAATAAATGAAGACAAATAAAGTATTAGTAAAAATTATTTTGTCCACTTATATGCCAACAAAATTGTTGGCAATTGAAATGGATGAATATTTACAAAAAATATAAAATATCCACATTAACAATAAGAAATAGATATTTTAAATAGCCAAATC